CATGTGAGCAAAAAGGATGGTAGCTAATTTGGTTTCAAGGGCTCTAAACACCTCTGTGCCTACCAGTGTATTCTTAATTTATGGAACAGGCACATAAGACAATGGCAATGCAAACCTAATAAACCTGGCTTGAGTGAGAAGTGCAGCTCTTGGCACAGCTAACTCAGTTGCGAAGTCTGGGACACACAAAGTGTGGAAGAGATGATACCTTGAGACAAGGGAGGACTTGGAGGGAACCTGGAGAGGGTTGTGAGAATAACTCTGGGACAAGAAAAACCCAAGGATAAAAGGGGTTTCTTAGTTAAGGGCTACCCTAATTAGGCACGACTATTGTTCTCATCATGGCATGAAGAGGATCAGTTTGAAGTAGGAGCCTTGGTTGTGTTTGGTGCTGGACAAACATATGCTGCTCCCCCAAACCTGTCAACCTCTATAACCAAGGTAGAGACTTTGCTGAAGGTGGAGAAAAAGGTGCAAATAAGTGGAGGGACTTGCCATGGGCTAGGCAGAAAGTCAGTGGTGGAGTCAGAGACGGGGCTGAGGTCTCTTGGCTCCTGCTGGTCGTACCAGCCTGGCTCAGGAGCCAGAAGCAAGTAGTGACAGTAAATAAGGAATGGGGTTTGTGCTTTCCATTGCTTCCCTTTTCATGACACCCTTGGGGGCTCGCACATGTGAATGGACCTGGACCTTTTAATGGAAAGGATGGTCCCTGCCCCACAGAGGTCATAGTGCAACCTCTTCACTGGGGTCAGCAGGAGATTTTGGGAGCCTCCACCCTAAAAAAAAAAATAAATAAAATAAATCAAGATATCCAGCAAAAAGACCTGATTTGTGGCTTTCCCATTGCTGTTCCCGCTGTATGGTTGGGTTGAGAGTGACAGGCTGGTTTTTAACAAATCTTCCTGGCATTTCCATGGAAGCCCAGGGGAACGGTGGGAAGGCGAGCTGTAAAATGGCATGCCCTGGCTGTCTCTCAGCTCCCAGCCTTTGCCTTGGAGTTAGATAACAGGAACAGCAGATAAGAGGAAAAGCGGTTCTTTAATTCAGCCAGAATTTCACTTAGTGTGAAGGAAAACGTCTAGTGAGAGAATTAGACTAAGCCAGGAAATAGCCTCTTAAACCTCAGCTCTCCTGTGCTAAAAGTATATTTAACATTTTGCATATACATATCTATATATCTGTCTTTATACCACCATAAAATCCAAGTCTTCTAACAGTCTGGTGGCCAAGAAATTCTTTTAACCTCATAAAACCAAGCCAATACAACACTGCCTTTTCAACTATGTAGGCTGCAGTGTTTTTTCAGGTCTCTCCCAATACCAAATATTCCCAGCCTCTGAGGACACCTGAGGCCAACAGAGCTATGATCTCTCCTTGCCAAGAGGTGCCCACCCAACCTGTAGCTAGCTCCACAGAGAGCGGCCTTGGCCAAGCATGGCCAAGTCGATGTTTCGAATGGTGCATGACCTACTGCACCCTGGAGCCCAATGCTTGGATGAGGGGGACTCAACCAAGGCTTTGCATTGAGCAGAAGCTTTTGGGGAGGTTGAGGAGGGACCAGGCTTTGAGTCTTACTCTTTTTGAAGACCTGGATCCCACTTCTGGGAAGAAGGCCGTATCTATCCTGCTTGTTCCTCTTATTTATCCAGCCCTGAGTGTTTGCTGGCAGGAAGCAATGTCCCTCCCATCTGGGCAGTGGCATGGGGTTAGCATGTGGGATATCACTGTGGTCTGGGGAGATCTGCCATGAACAGCCCTTTCATGGCAAAGCATTGCTGCACCTTCACTGCCATCAGGTGGGTTCACACCAAGAGGAGTCATCCCAGGTAGGAGCTGGCAAATCACCGGATTGACCTTTGATTTTAGGAGGGTGATACATTCTAGCATCCCTTTACAGCTCTTGTGTGTGACTTTCCCAGTCTGTATCTCACTGGCCCCTCTACCAGCAGTTCCTGAGAGATCCCTGTAGTCCTGTGCTGCTGCCCACACCTCTGCCGCCCCAGGGGAGTTTGGTGGGGCCATGGCTTAGGCCAAGGAAATCATGAAAAGCTGTAGGCTGATAATAAAACTTGGGATAGAAACACAAGAGATCATCTTGCTGCTAATGGCCAACTTCCACACTGCTTCGGGTTCCTGACCTCCACACTTCAGGTTCCTGAGCTTGGCTCTCCTGAAGACGTCAGGCAGAGAGAGGGAAAACCCTGGGCACCATCTGGGGCAATCAGCATGTGGTCAGTGACTGTTATTTAATTTCTTCAATCCTCTGGCCCTCAGAGCCTGCAGGTGGGAGATTCAGGCTGTTCACAGTCTTTCCTTCTTTCTTTTTTTGTTTCTAATTATTCTTGTTATGGGAGATCAGGTGCTCTTTGTTAGAACTAAAGCAGTTTTCTCCTGGGACAGTGACATCTAATTAAAAATGTTACAGTCCAAGGCAAGAGCTATGGTCTCCCTTCTGAGAAGCCCTGCTTCATGGCAGTCATCAAACCCTCTTCTGGGCTCCTTTTCTGGTTTGTTTTTAGCTTGCAAACTTATTAGGCTTTGAGATGTCTTAGAATCTCTATCATCTAGTGCAAAGAAGTCTTGGCATGCTGAGGGTCAGAGATCGCTGCTATCATACACACATCAGTAATTTTTTTGTATACTATAAGCATGAAATGCTGCTCACCGAGATAAATAATTATATCAGCAAAAGAAAGATATGGTAGCACCTCGTTGCTAGAGCACGCAGTTTCCACCAGCCTGCGGCCAAGGATTATGCTGAACCTGAAGTGGGGACTTTGGGTTTAATTGGGGATTTGTCTTCTGTAATTTTTTCCTGTCGCTATTTGGATGCACATCGACTTCTAGCATCCACAACGTCCTGTGGCCACCTCCATTAGACTGAAGAGAAAAGATGCTTCCAAGCAGCTTGTTGCAACACCTGGGGGGCCGATGCAAGTCCAAGAGACATTCTCTCTGCACCAAGCAAGAAAAGGTAAAGTTGAGCTTGCCTGTGAACTGATGCTGAGATAGCAGTTCAGTATCTAAACAGGTAACACCCAATTACAACAGAACTGTGTTGACTTACACTTTCCCTTATCAGAAGAATCAGGTATTCATGTAAATCACAAAAGAGTTTGATGGATGCCAGTTCACAGTGAGCCCCACGCCAAGGAACGAGAGCCTAGTTAAACAAAATGTATGTTGTTCTTATCTTTAAGCTGCGACTATTGCTATGAAATAAAAAACTATAAAAGAAAGTGTCTTATCGTGGGGGTTATAATTCTTTAATGTTCTCCAGGGGCTGTGCCTGTGCTAGAACCAGACCCCTGGGACCACTTTCTGAACCCCACAGAAGTAATTTTCTTGCAGACGGATGATCTTCCCTTATCACGCGTTGTCTTGGCAATAAAAAAGTCTCTTTCTTGAGATGCATGTTTAGACTGAGCCTGGTGAAAAAAAAGAGAAGGAAAAGAAGGGGAAGCTAAATTGATCTTAATTCGGATGCTTGCCTAAAAGTAAACAATGAGGTCGAGAGACAATCTCCATTAGACCCTCCTGGGCCTGGAAGCGTGGCGTGGAGAACACATGTAGTAAGAAGCCTTCAGACAGCCGTGCCGGAGTCGAGCTGAGAGCCCGGTCTGAACACCACGGCTAATCAGACTCTCTTATCACATTTACTGGGAGATGGGTGATGCCAATAAAACCAAGTCAGGCTGAGTGCACTTAGTGGAGCCCAAAAGCTAATTGTTAATAGATGCCTACAGCCCAGGGCTCGGGGAAGCCGGCTGGCCCCCTCTGCTCTCCTGCCTTGGCCCTGGCAGGACCTCAGATGTGGGTTAGATTTTGGTGAGTCCTGCTGGGAACGATGGGCAGGACACATATGATTTTACTGGTATTTAGCCATATTATGGGCTGTACGGGTGCTCTGTTTGAGACCAAGACCTTATTAACATGGTAGTGGTCCAGCCACCTGGGGTCTCCAAGGGTGACAGTGAAATCAAGCTGGTGCTTTGCACTAGAAGCATGCTGAGCCCTGATTTTCCCAAACATGGAAAACTAAAATGTATAATTTGTGACAGTGATGGACTGTGTTTATACTGCCTTCCTCCAAATTGAAAATAGTGGCTGTTAGGAGATATCTGTGGAAAAAGATGAGAATGAAGTGAGCTTGTAGTGATTTTCCCCTGGTATGCTCCCCCTGTATCTAGAAAATTGCTGGTGATGGACATCCGGAACCAGAATTGATATAATTGTGTTTAAATCCTTATCTGATATTTTTTTTTCCTCCAAGAAACACCTGTGTACCTAAAGCCTTGTCTGCTCCATCCCGATAGTTTAACAGGGGTGTTATACCTCACTGCAGCACTCACCTTCTGTAGGACACAGTCCCATCTTGGAGATCTTACAGCTTAAATAAATGTATGTCTTTTTTATAATCTGATAATTTAAGATAGATCGATCAATACATGGATTAATAGATCCTTAAAAACCAGCACCAAGACTACCGAGGACCCAGATGTGAATGGTTAGCAGAGTTTTCCAGCCGTCTGCTCTCCCTGCAGACTCGCAGACTCCAGTGGATGCCTCCCACATCTCCACAGCAATCAATTCCCCCGCCAGCTCCGGGGGAAGCCTCCGACACCAGGTCCTTTGTCCAGCAACCTTGAAGGTTCTTCCTTGTGCCTGTGCGAGTCTGAGCACGCAAAACACCCCAGGGTCAGGCCGTGTCCTTCTGTGATTCCTATCCAGCAGAGGCAGGAGATGGGAGAGCCTTTCCTGGTCCAGCTGAGGCTTATTTTGACAGAGGGACCACGGTGTTAGCAGAGAGCACAGCCCTCCGTTTCCCCAAGTAGCCTTGACATGGATATATGTTAAGGGCTGTGATTTTGAGAGGCAATCACTTTGCACCTTCCCTATCTGCCTTCTCCTTGCCTTGCTGATGGCCCCCAAGGCTGCCCATCATTTCTGAACCTCTGAACCCCAGCGAAGCCCCTTTATTATGGGGCACACGACAAGCAAGCGATGGAGACTTTAAAGTGGTCCTTGGAGACAAATGGCTGGGATGTCTTTCAGGTAGACCGGAGAAGGAGGCCAGGTGGCATCTGCAGAGGCTTTGCAGAATTATTTCCCATCACTGATGCCCTCATTTGTTGGTATGTGTGCTACCATTTGAACCTCCCTCCCATTTCACTCCATCTCTAGATCCAAAATCCAGTTCCCACATGCAGAATACTTGGTGAGCTCAAGACATCAACCTGCAAAAAAGGGACCAGAAAAGCAGCTGGTGGAGAAGGTAAGTGGGCTCTGAGTGTACAGCCATCAGCATGGGAGGGGGCTCGGCTGCAGGTGTGCAAATACAGCTCGTCCCTGGCATCTGCTGGGAACACAGCCGAGCAGGGATCTGCTGCCTTTATCTCTTGACCTCTTGCTCCCTTGCCCTGGGGATCCAAATGCTGTGGGTCCAAGTGCATCCCATTCATCTGGGATGGGTCCCTACACCATGGGGAATGAGATCCCTTGAGGGATCCCTTGGAGCTCTACTTAGGAGCGCTGTGGTGGGATGCTGCTTCCCAAAAAACCATATTTGCACCCAGCCCCACAGAAGTACAGTCCTCTGGATGCATCTGCACCCACCACGGGGTCTTGTGCCAGCACATCTGCATCACCTGGGCTCACATCTGCATCACCTGGGCTCACATCTGCCTAGCAGGATCTGCAACGGGCAGCTCTCGAAGCTACCGCTCACAGGGGCTAAGCTGCCTTTACTGCAGGTCACACACTCTCTCAAACAACAGTGGATTTAGATGCCATAAAACCCATGGTCTAACACGCCCCAGGAGTCTCCCACCACCCTGTATGTGTCGCAAAAGCATCCTTCATCGTGCTGGCATCCTTCAGCAGCCGAGAAAATCACAGCAGCCCACGGCCCCGTCTTGCTCCCTCTCTGCAGCTCGCACGTGTCGCTGCTTGTTTTATTTTTCTGGCAACGGAGGCAAAAATAGCTCGTGTGAAAATTATTTATTTTGTATTAATAGCTTGGAGTCAAAGCCTCAGCAGACACTTGGAATAAACAGGATCACTCAAAATACAGTTGTTTGAAATCAGAGCTTTGCTCTGACCCTGGGGTTTCTAACCAAAGCCAGAAAAGCTGTGTATATAGAATCCCTTAATTTTTTTCCCCCTGTTAATCCACAGTACAACAAGCCTTGCTTGTAGCCAGGGGACTTTGACCAGGGTGATTAAGCCAGCGTTTCATTTAGGTGGTCGCACGCGTGGTTGTATAGGTGGTCGAGATGGGAAATAATCCTCCCTATCTGCCTAATAACCCCCTTTGCACTTCTAATCCACTTCGTATTCAAGCACATCCCACTTCCCCTCAGCTGTTTCTCTCCTTTCATCATTTCCCCTCTCCAAAATATATTTTTTAAGTGGGGGCAGCTCTTGGGTGAGAAACTGTATTTTGGAAGAAATTCTCAGGACTTGTTTTCTTGAGAAAGAAAGAAGGAAAAACAGCACTTTTGTTTTTTGTTTTTCCTTCCTCTTTCTCTTGTTTTCTTTTACTCCTTGTCCTGCACGGCCAGTTTTCCAGCCAGATAAAGGGAAGAAAAAAGGGAAATAAAACAACGAGCGAATTTGTATGTTTATCTGTCTTCAGCGTGGGTTTCCTCTCTTTTTCTTTCCCTTTTCTCCAGCAAATAACAGAAATCTTCCCAGCTGATGATTAGAGCACCTCAACTCATTTAAATTCTTGTGCAATACTGAGCACTTCCATTAATGAACTCAGGTCTCTAACGGTGTTTAGCTCTGGTTGCTGATGGATTAATTAAGGCACAAGGGGGAAAAATCTCCTACGCGGGGGCTAATGCAGACCTTGAGAAACCCAGGTCCAAGTCCACGAGCTCCTTTACTGACTCTGAATCATCCCTAGGGCTCCTTTTTGTTTCGTTTCTTTGTGAAATGGGGGTGGCAGCCCAGACCCCACGGTTTTTGCACCACGATGGTGCAGCCTGCGGGGCATCTGCAGGGTAACCAGGCAGGGATGCTCCCAGAGCAGCTCCAATAAAGGCACCTCAGCTTTTTCCCTTTGCAAAACATCATTATTCCACCTTTGGGCCGCAATTAAGAGACATTCAAGGGGCGAGCTTTGCCCATCACTCCCCTTCCACCCCCCAGCATCCCTGATGGAGACGGCTCCTGCGGGACCAGCAGACAGGCTGCCCAGCCTTTCACCTTTTTTTTCTTGGAAACCCTCAGCTAGCGGCTTTCCCTCCCCCAGCCGGCTGTTATAATCACACATTGTTCCCGGTCGCTGCCTCGTCGTTTAACAGCACTTGGAAAATGTCAAATGTGGGAGTCCGGCAGCCTTAGGTTAGAGTAAAAACTCCCAAACATATTTGGAGGGCTGCCAGCACTTTGCAAACCCTCTGCAAACTCAGATAAGGGGTGACCTTGCAGCCTGCGGGCTAGGCCAGGAGTTTATAAATCCTCCATTTGCTTGGGTTGAGCTTTCTCAATATTGTGATCATCCCGTCCCCTTCCAACGTTGTCCAGTGCCGCGGGGTAGGAGAGCAGCTTGTGAAAGCAGGGGCTGCTGGCAGCAGTGACCTTTGCCAAGACATCCAACGTCCGAGGTGGAAGAACCCATTGGAGATGTGACATCCAGAGCCGGTGGGGACAGGACCCCCCGTGTACAGGGAGGCAGAGAGTGCCCGGGGCTGGATCTGCCACGGCTGAGTGAGCAAACCCAGTGCCCCGTTTTGTTTGAGCTCAAGGTTACAGACATTGGCCCAAAACCCTGTTTGGTTTTGCAGCAAATGCTGGTCCTAAAAGCACGGTTGGGGAAGGATGGCAACACGGCTTGGTGAGGAGGGGGAGGAAGGGTTGAGTTTGGGGCTTCATTTTGAACCGTAACGAAATCTAAACATTTTGAAATTCTTCCCCAAATGACAAATAATGTCAAATACAGAGATAGCACTGGGCTGGATTTGAGCTGTGAGGCACCTTCTTATATTCCTAACTTCTGATAAAAAGGATGGAACAGAGTCAGGAAAACTTTCCTCTCCTTCCCCTCATTATTTTTCTTTTCTTTTTTTTTTTTTTTTTTTTAAAAATACACAACCTCTGAGAAATCAGCAACGTCTCCTGAAATGTTCCAGTTTGGATGGGAGAGCCTTTCGCAGCAGGAAATGTTTCCCTCTGGGTTTTCCTGGCCAGCTCTGGCCGACTGCACGTCCCCAACCCGCTGCCGTTGGGCTGGGGGTTCAGCCTGAGCACGGCAGCTCAGCTCAGGGGTGGGCAAAGGCCCCCCCAAAAATCAGCTCCTGGGGAGCTGGTGCTTCCGCGTGCACAGCGCAAGGAAAACACTTTGAATCCCCATTAATTAGCAGTGTTAATTAGCTCAGAGGCAGCCCAGTACCTACATTAATGAAGGAACGCAGATCACTTAGGCAGCGTTGTTAATTTGCATTTTTCCCTCTTTTTCTCCTTTGCTTTAGTCTCAAGGCTTTCTGGTAAAACCTTTGCAGGTCAGTTAACCAATATTTATACATTTTGGGGCCGTCAATAATTTACAAACTCTTTCCCCCTACATCCTTTCCCCTATACCCTTACTTCACGGTTGTACGTAGCTGAATTATTTCTCACCCATCCATACATCATCTCGGGCATTCGGGCTCTTTTGGGGTCTGTTTGCAGTTTGTTGGCAGGTCAGGCTTTCTTACTGGCAAATATATTTGTTTTTTCTCCGGGTCAAATAAGTCATGTGAAAATGTCAGCGCACGAATTACCTGTGAACTATTTACCCTCCTCCCTGCATCCCACCAGGGACCCTCCGAGCTTCCCAATGCACGGCCGGTCACCTGAAACACCGCGGAAGGGTTGGGGTAATGCAGGATAAATGGCCAGGAAAATGTCCAGGTGGATTCTTGTTTGCTTTCACCTTTGTAAGAAAATCAAGAGCTGGTTTTTTTTTTTGATAAATTCCCAACACCCAAACCTAAGCAAGCTCACTGCTTTTATGGGAAAAAAATACTTGCAGACGTGATTCGGGGCTGCTCGGCAAGCTGGGCTTCCCCTAGTTGTCCTTAGCTCCTCTCAATATAAGAGA